GCGGGGCCCGGGAACCCCGGGCTGCGTGGGCAGGGCGCGGGGCCCGGGAACCCACCAGGGGTGGTGCCTGACTCAGAATCCCTGCATGGACCCCCAGGCTCAGCCCCTCATTCTGTGCACAGCCGTCCCGTGACCAATGCGAGTCTGTCCCAGGGTGGGCAGGGTGGCACTCACAAGAGAAGCAGCACCGCTGGCAGGATGACCACGGGGCTGGTGGCGTGGCCCGCCACGGAGCGGAGCCACTCCGGGAAGTCCTTCTCCATCGTCTCCGACAGGATGTCGTAAATCTTCTCTTGTCCGCTGTGAGGGAGGAAATGGTCCAGATTTTATTGCTTTTGCAGCGGGAAGCAGCAAGCCATCAAAATGTCTGGAAGCTGAACCTCAAGATCAGCTACAAAAGGCAGAGGTAAACGTGTAAGCGGAAGAACCCCATGGTACTCCCAAATAACGTCTGCAAGGCAGACATCTATGGGTTGGAAGAGGTGGAAATCAGCAACAGTGTACATGTGTCACCAGCACACAAAGCCAGGTGGATTAGTTTTATGATGTGTTGGCTGTGGGGATTGAGCCCGGAGCCTGCCGAGGACGGAGGCTGTGCTGGGCTCAGCAGAGGCAGGCTGACCTCTCTCCACCAGGCTTTCTGGCTCAAGGCGGGAGGGGAGGTCAAAGCAAGCCCCGGACAGTTTCCCGGCCACTGGCGGCCAGCCGCACCCACCTGAACGGCCCACAGTTCTGAGACGGCTTGTAGCGGGCAATGGCGAAGATGGTGGGCAGCATGCACAGGAAGAGCATGAAGAGGAGCATCGCCAGGTAGAAGTTGTTGGACCTGAGGGAGACCGGATGCCGTGAGATGAGTTCAGAGGCAGATGCCCAAAGGGCCCAGGAAGCCACAGTCACCCCAACTGGATGCAGGTAGGAAGGTCCTCTTCTCAGTGCTCCCTGGCAGCGATGTGACACAGAGGCTCGCACAGCTCAGGCTCCCGGAAATCAATGTTCAAGGCAACCCCGGCCCCCCTCCAGCCCACCCCGGCCATCTCCTAAACATGACTGAGCACCTGCACACACACCTTGGGAGCAGCCCCAGGTGACCTTGTCCTGCAGGTTGAAATGTTTGAGAGTCAGGGATATGGATGGGCACACAATTAAATGAGACACCAAGCAAGGTAGCCGAGCCTTCTGTGTGGCCTAGGAAATGCTGTTATAAACCCAACACAACTCAGGAGAAAGGACACTGTGTGGAACGCATTCCCGCAGGGGCGTGGGGAAACCAGAGCCTTCGCTGGTTCTGGGGTACAAAATGGCCCCGGGGCCGGTGGCCTGCAGCTCCACAGCCCGGCTGGGCAAAAGCAGAGCGAGCCACAGCCCTCGGCTGCAGCGCAGATGGACAGGGATGCGTTCTCTGTGAGATGAGGCTCAGAGACAGGACACGAGTGAACACAGCTGACACAAAGCCACACACACACACACACACGCACACACATGCACGCGTGCACACACACACACACACGCACGCCGTGAGGCGTGACCACACTGCCCAGAGGAGAGACCCCACACACCCAGCCCCGCCCTTGGCACCCACACTCTGTTTCTTTGTCTTGGGTGTGAAGTGCATGTTGGTGCCAAGCTACTTAACATTTATCATGCTGTAGTTTTTCTACCTAATCATTAAATGTCATTAAAAAGTCTTAAAAACAGGTGGGTGCTGGTGGCTCACGCCTGTAATCCTAGCTACTCAGGGTCACAGTTCAAAGCCAGTCCGGGCAGGAAAGTCCATGAGACTCTTATCTCCAATAAACCACTCGGAAGACTGGAGTGGCGCTGGAGATCAAGTGGTGGAGCGCTGGCCTTGAGCTGAAGCGCTGAGGGACAGCGCCCAGGCCCAGAGTTCAAGACCCACAAACATGTCTTGAGTTTCAGCCAGTGCCAGGGTGAGTGGTGGGCAGTGCTTCATGGAGGGAAGAGGACAGGACTGGTTGGGGGCCCCTGGCGGGGGCGAGGCACAGGGGTGGCCCCACCCCCTCCCCCTCCCGCTGACCTGGATGCCCGGAACACCTGCTGGTGGGGCACATTGCAGGTGAGCACAGCCCAGCTCCGCAGGTACATGAGGCCGATGAGCTTGAGCACGTTGAACGCTGGGAGGCACGGGGAGAAGAAGGCCCCCATCCTGAGGCAGAAGGAAGGTCAGCTGGCGCGGTCTCCCTGGCCGGGCTCGGGAGGAGCCGGGGCTGGAGCTCTGAGACTCACACCCTCGGCCTGAGGACATGGGAAAGTCCCTGCAAGGTCTGAGACCTCAACTTCCACTTTTGGGGAACAGGACAGGTGAGCAAGAAGGGGAGGGTGGCTTGGGGTGCAGCGCCCAAACCCAAGGCCTCAAAGAGTGAGCGAGTGAAAGCCACTCCGGTTTTATGCTTTGTGGAGGGGACAGAAGTGCCATTGTTTAGGGAGGGGAGGCCCAGCTCCCCGGCCTGTGTCCTCAGTCTCTCGTTGACGGATCTGTCTGTGCGGTCCGGGCCGGGCCTGCACTGTGTTCACACTGGTCAGGTCCCTTCAGACCGACCAGCGTTCCAGCCCGCATGGCGTGTGAGCAGCGATGGGCGGCCGGTGCTCACCAGATCATCCCTTGGTTGTACACGAGGTGCAGCACGTTCTCAGCTATTTTGAACTCCCCGTATTCAGGCTAGAAGAGGGCAAGAGATTCCGTATGACGAGGGGCTCCCCGCCGCGCAGGGGCGTGCGTGGACGCGTTGCCCAGTGGGCCGGCCGCTTCCTGGGGAGCCCGCAGACAGCCTGGGCCAGCCCCAGGCCCCCAAGCAGCAGGGGACTCACGAACTTGCTCTCCAGGTCCCAGCACCAGTAGTCGCTTAGGTAGCGCACGAAAAGCCCCCGGAAGAAGTCGATGAGCAGGATACTTGCCACGGTGAAGAGCATGTCGATGACAGATAGCTTCAGCATCTCCTGTGACACAGGAATCGGCTGCAGGGCTGCCCTCCCTCCCGCAGCTGCCCTCCCTCCCGCAGCTGCCCCTCCCAGCCTTCCCACAGCACCCCCGCCCTGGCCCTCCTCGCTCAGGTCCTTCTCGGGGCTGACCAGGGGCCACTGGGGTGGTCTTTGTTTCCCACCTTTACACAGCAGGGTAGATGGAGGGAGGAACTTCCCAACTGAGGGGTTGTTAGTTCAAATTTGGATGTTGGTAGCTGAGGCCACCTTAGGTGAAGCTAAGAAGTAACCTGAGCCGGGGCCGGGCTCTGAGTGCAGGGCTCAGCCACGGAGCTGCCCCGGGTGGGGACCGCCAGGCCGGGCCGCCAGGCGAAGCCCGGAGGCAGAGTCTGTAGGGACAGACTTTGGAGAGGAGTCTTGGCTGTCTTTAGTCTGCTCTTTGCTCTCATGCTCTCACGACAGTTACCACCGCCTCAGTTTCCACGTGGCCAGAAGGACCCCAGGGACCCTGCCTGGCTCACACAAGCCACCGCGCCACACTCCGCCTGACTGTCGCATTGACGGAGACCCCACCGAACTGTGCTCGCTTCTTTATGAAGCAGGATGGCAACCCCTCAGAGAGGCCTGGGGCTGTGATGATGCAGAGGTGAGGGCCCTGTGGGGTGAGGGGGTGAGGGCCCTGTGGGGGTGAGGGGGTGAGGGCCCTGTGGGGGTGAGGAGGTGAGGGCCCTGTGGGG